CAACAGTACAACATAAGCTCTAGGAGCTTTTACAACCGGCTGTATATAACATAAGGTATAAGATCAACAAAGATTAAACAGCTACAATAAAAAATGATTAGACATGATATATATATAGATCTACATCACATACATAAAATAGACCTTTTTAGATATTTTTATAAAAATGAATCAGATGGTAAAAAACTAAATGAAAGTCAGCGTTCCCATTCACGCACAAATGTGAATTTCCGTATAATTTACAAAAATCACACATGAAATTACAACTAGGTGCGTGCATGCACGTATAAAGATTGAAGTAAAACTGCCAAAAAATTATCCGCAAATTCGAAGCACAAATCAATAATCTACTCACAAATCTCTGAAATTGTTTACAAGACCGTAATTTAATCCGAGGTCATAACTTGGGTTTCCCAGCTGTGCTTTTTATGCCCCCACAAATTGGGAGCATATAGCGTTGCACTTGTCCGTCCGTCCGTCTGTCGGAGTGTCCGCACTACCGAATAGGGATAGAGGGCCATCTAACTGTAAACAGAACAAAAGAGAACAATAGAGTTCATTCCGTAACAATAGAGTAAGGGGCCATTGGCCCTCTATTAAACAATAGAAAATAACAAAAGAAATGGCCCCTTATTCCATTTCGGCCGGACATCCGTCCGTATGTCTGTCCGTCCGTACGTCCCGAAATCTTGTGAACGCAACTCCTCTTAAACCGGATGGCAGAATTTGCTTAAACTTACAGGGATGAACAACCTTAATGCGTAGATGGCAGTAAAGGAAGGAATTTTTGCTGCAACCAAATTTAACAGAATTATGGCCCTTTGTTAATTTTTTCATTATATACTATGTAGAAATTTTGTGAACGCAACTCCTCTTAAACCGGATGACAGATTTTGCTTAAACTTACAGGGATGAACAACCTTAATGTGTAGATGGTAGTAAAGGATGGAATTTTTGCTGCAACCAAATTTAACAGAATTATGGCCCTTTGTTGATTTTTTCATTATATAACATATAGAAATTTTGTGAACGCAACTCCTCTTAAACCTGATGGCAGATTTTGCTTTAACTTCCAGGGATGAACAACCTTAATGTGTAGATGGTAGTAAAGGAAGGAATTTTTGCTGTGACCAAATTTAACAGAATTATGGCCCTTTGCTGATTTTTTCACTATATACTATGTAGAAATTTTGTGAACGCAACTCCTCTTAAACTGGATGGCAGATTTTGCTTAATCTTCCAGGGATGAACAACCTTAATGTGTAGATGGCAGTAAAGGAAGGAATTTTTGCTGCGACCAAATTTAACAGAATTATGGCCCTTTGTTGATTTTTAGTTTTCAACTTGTGGCACATGTGATCCAAAAAATATTTGACCTATAGTCATAAGATTGACAGAACAGTGGCGTGTGGGGGCATCCGTGTCCTATGGACACATTTCTAGTTTTAGCTCATGGACTGGTTTATAATTATTAACGACGGCTTCGCACGCTTTGCTCATTCTGGGACAATTTATTTTGTTTATTAGTCAAAATCGCTGTATGAGTATCCGATACTTACAATTTCTTCAAAATAGCCTGATATTTGTGTCAAATAACGAAGTCGAAACTGCATTTCAATCTGCTTGAATAATATAAAAATGGCGTCGTTGAAGAGCCAATCACGTGATTCACTCGCGCATTTATATAATTTCTACGTACAGTACAAATTTAAACTAAATTGTAATTTTAATTTTCAATACTTTAATACAATTATAAATGTATGACAACCCCTTCTATATTCAATGCATGAATGGATTTTCTAACTTGTAACCGTACATACGGAACTATTTTTTTTGTCAACGAAATTCGGTTGGCAATAAGAAATAGTTCGGTTAGCGCTAGCGCGCGCGGAGCAAAATTACCGTATATCGTGAAATGGAAAGGCAGAGTTGCGATTGTTTGGAATTGCGATTGTTTGCCTGTAGATGGGTGGTTATACCTTTGTGTCGATTTACAATCGACACAAAAAGTGAGGACGATATTAATTATTGATTTAATAGTGTAATGTGTAATAGATGTATTACTAAATTAAAATAATGATTATCGTAAGAATTATGGTAATCATGTGAAGGCCTTCAGTAGATATCAGTGTGCCGGTGGTGCGATAGGTGATACTTGTTCGAGACTCAAGAAAGGTGATATAGAATTGTCCGCCGATTAGAAATAACATATACTTGTATAGTGTTCCATCCCAAAGCTTTTTCCAGATTGTTTAGCTTTTGTGTGTTTGGTGGTAGCTGTAAGCTAGGCAAAACTTACAGCGAGCAGGAGTTTTTTCTCACGGTTTCATGCCCTGATATATCCCCTGGTCTGTTGATCGAGGCTACTTTCGATGGACGTCCGAGGAGTCTGGCAACTTTTTATATCCGCAAGGAAGCATCGTTTGCGAGTGATTGTCTTCAATCTGGGCCAGCAGAATGGAACATGGCAGTTATTCCTGAGTTTAGAGATATGGGAACTGGGTGGATCATAGTATGGAAGTGGCCTGAGAGGAGAAACCTGCATTTGGTCTGCGCTAGTGGAACAAACAAAGTATATATATAAGCACGTTTACCTACCATTTATTACATGTATATATCATATCTTGGTAACAAAATAACTTGCATACAAAGAATACATAACATAATTTTTAATCCTGCTAGTGTTATTTTAAGGTGATATATAAATGGTGATCTATATAAATGGTGATCATGATGATGGTCATCCTCTTCATCAGGGTCATCATCATCATATGACGATATTGGTGATGATGATGTTGATGATAAGGCTAAATGATTGTGTGAGAAAAGGGATAGTTGATATTGTGTTATTAGAAATAGAGGATAATGTTACACTGATGATAATGAGGAGGAGAAGGCGGTGGTTGGCGGCACAGATGATGATGATGATTATGATATATCATCATCATGATCATCGTCATCATCATTATTATCATGTGATGATATTGGTGATATATATGTTGATGATTAGGCAAAATGATTGTATCGGACAAAAGGATAGTCGAAATAATGCTACAAAAGTGATGACAGTATAAAGAATTGCTATAACAGTGTATTATAATGGATATCATGGTAAAAAAAAAAGTGATCACTGGACATCGTGTCAATATGTGTCGGCTGGCATTGGGTAGGAGGCTGTGATGTGAATATTTCTGCAGGTGAAATACCGTTATAACCGTTGTTTACTCCATAACTATGCATTGTTGGTCCATGATCGGGCTTTTGCATTTGGGAAACTGAATGCAAAGCTTCGGAGTATTTTGGTAACTGTGGTATGTGCCTATCAACTGACCTGTAGTTTTCGAAATATTCTTCTTGATGTGGTGTTTGCTTGAAAGATGATTGTGCGCCAGGCACCGAGGTATTCTGTTGGGATTGGTTTAATAGTTCAATATTTTCCAGGCGATTCCTCTAATTAAACTGGTTCCATTCTGGTAGTTCATCATGAATAACTTTTCCGTCAACAATCAATTTACCTGGATATATTATTTTTACTTTTGATCTTGGATTTAACCCTTTTTGCACCTTGTATTTTGGCCATAATCGGGAGCGTGCCATTTGTATCTCTTTCGGAAAATCGTAATCGACAAAAATGCCATGTACTCCTTTCAGCATGTACGCTCTACTCATGATAAGTTCGACATTTTGAAAGTCTCTAAAATTTACAATGATTGGCCTGTGGCTATTTCTTTGCCTTTTTGCTCCAGGTCTATGTGCGCGATTAATGCATATCTCATCTGGTAATATATCAAAAAATAGATAAATACAGAATCCCTAAAGAAAGCCCTACACGGCAAATTGAAAATGTTGCAGGCTCGGTTTGATTGAGCCTGTTCATAAGTCTATTCTGAAAAAAGTCTATCAAAATATTGCAACAGTTTTCTTCTGCATTTTCTGAAAAACCTCGAAAAATGAGATTGTTTCGTCGAGATCTTGCCTCCAGGTCAATAGATTTGAATGCTAGGGTCCTAATAAGATGTGTTTGACTGTTTGTTACCTCAATAACATGACCTACTTTCTCTTGCATATAACAAAGGGATTTTTGGATAGTAGACATGCCATTGTTGAAAGTACTTTGTTCATGTCTAATAATTCTCAGTTCATCAAATTATAGTAACATTTTTGTATCCATAGAGGATTCAGAAAAAGTTTCTCGCGTAATATGTGATTGTAATTGTTCACCTGTGTCACCTGAATCCTCTCTTACCTACCGGCTCCTTTGTTAAAAGCGGTCTAGTAAATCACTTACCGACCGGTTAACAGGTCTGCAAATAGATACCGACCGGTTATTGTTCTATTGTTCTCTATACAATAGAAAATATGTGAAGTCGAGAAACTCGTGCATTACAGTACACAATATTCACCGTAAAATAACGCTGAATTGTGGGGGAGGGGGGGATAATGACCACTTTGAATAGGAAAAAGGGTCGATATATATTTTAAAGATTAGTCGAAATAAATTAGCGCATACGGCTGTAAGTACCCTCATAACTTATATTCCAGATTATTTGTGAGAAAAACGAACTGGCTACTGTGGCGTTGAAGTTTTGTGTTTCGCCATATTAATGAGTATAACAACGCATATAAAGCCTTTCTTTAAAGTTTGCTTTTCGGTATACCTAACACATTTGCCGAACTATATAGCTTCATAAGATACTAGTTATTTCCACAACTATGTCTGAATTTGCACAATCCTGCATTATTTTAACAATTCTGCATTATAGGATATATGCGACGATTATATTATTGGTGCATATCGAATCAAAGTCAACTTCTGCATCTTTCTTTCCCAAAATATTACTTTCAGTGAGAGTATAGTTCATAGTTCAAGACCGTTTTTCTCATTGTCCCAGTTATTTTTACATTACAATTTGGATTTTGTATACCAGTACCAAGAATACGACTTGCGCTTTCATTCTAGACCGCGTGCTTACATATGCGGTCTTATAACGGATGATGCTAATTAAGAATACACGGAAAGAAAATTCTTCCAAGCATGGATGAAATTCTAAGAACATTTAAAATCGGCCATCATAAAAATCAACAACAACAAAACCCAACTTACATAACTGTGTAACTACATGTATTACTAATATTGAATCATATAACCCCGTCTTTTACTTTCCTTTTATATTTTAATTATATAAGAAATAGCCTGATCATCTATTTACCATGAAATTTATTACATATAAAGATAAAGTGTTCCGTTTTTATGATTAGAAAACATTTTTATCTTCCTCAGTATTTGCTTATATTATTAATATGTTATGTATTCATATATCAAAATAATGATCTTACCTTTCCCTATTCGACAAGTTCTGTTTTCATTTTCTGTGACTCAACTCACAAGTACATTACCTAATGAAACCCCGCGAAAATCACGAGAATATTCAAATAACACCTGATTTGTGAACGAATGAATTACAGGAGCGTAGCGGATGGTATCTTTGCTTGGCTTTGGAATGCTTTCTTAAACATGATAAAGTACATAAATAATATGTTACTTGTGAGTAATATATTAATAAATACTGAGTTAAAAACTGATGTATGGATAGAAAAACAAAAGAGCATGTAGGTAAGATAGTTACCGCACTCGGAATAGGTCTGCCTAGTATTTACAGACCCGGTGGCCTTTTAAAAACCTCGATCGCTACGCTCTCTTGGTCTTCAAATCGCCACCCGGGTCTGTAAATACTAGGCAGACCTATTCCTCGTACGGTTACTATTACTTGAAGAATTTCAAAACTGTTCTGTACAATTAAAAAATGCGTGACCGATAAAAAGTTGACACTCAATTAAATCACGGATTTATATTACATAAATCCGTGATTAAATCTACCCCGCTGGTGTTAATTGGGACTTCTGCAGTCTTTATCGATTTTTACACCTTATATAAACAATAAATAAATAAAAATAAATAAACAATAAAAAAATAATCGCCAGATTTTGTAGCCAAAATGCAAAAATAATCGCCAATATTATAAAATAATCGCAAATGGCGACTATGGCGATTGTCAGCGTGAGCCCTGTTTTATGATAAAATATGTAGAACCTATCATATGATAAGTAAATGACTTATCTAGATTTCTGTATACCAGGTCTGGATGCACAAATATGCCTGTCTAATGAACAGATTAGTTTCACCTAGGGGTGTAACAATACGGCAAAAACCGTATTGCAATATATTGTCATTTTCCAGCCTATCAACTTGATAAATTACAACGTGTGCAGAATTATGCTGCTAGAATTGTCACTGGAGCTGCTTACTATCAATCCAGTGCTGAAATTCATAAATCACTCCACTGGCTTCCAATTCGAGCAAGAATCATGTACAAAGTTATTGTGTTGCAAATGGCACCGCTCCATTGTATCTTCGTGAATTGTTCACTAAATGCCAGAGTCAGTACAGGAAAAGACTGAGATCCTCATCATCTAGCAACATTCGGTTTGATATACCAACTTGCTGATAGATTTTTTGGCTACTGTGGGACCTAAATGGTGGAATTCATTGCCAGACTATCTGAAGGCCGGACATTACCAATGAAAATCAGTTTAAGGCCAAACTTAAAACATACTTGTTTGGACTGTTTTTCAACTAGAGTTGTAGATTGTCTGTGCCATCGAGACTGGGTTTGGGAGTGCCTAGATCAAGCATATGTGTATATGATCTTAATACTGTACAGCGCAATCGAATATTTAATACATTTTTGCGCTATATAAATGTCTTGTATTTGTATTTTGCCAAAGTGTATTGCAATACGTATTGTCGTGTATATGTTTTGATGTAAAGATGGAGTAACATTAGATATTATTATTATTAAATGTATATATTCTTAGTAGAAACTTGATAAAAATGTAAGGAATAAATAGAAAGTACATTGTAAGAGTCACACAATTTGATGGAAATAAAACTAGTCGTGCGGGACCTTTCACACCTGGTCCGCTTAATATGTAAATTATGTGGCCGTTATTGACTTTTAAGTGTACTAGTTGTTGCGTATTTTTATCTTACGTTGACACCAATAAAACTCACCAATAAAAGATTTTATGCGAAATTTGTATGAAATTAGAAGGCGATTATTAAAATTATGATTTTTATGAAATACCGGTTTTCCAAAAATCGTACCGCGGTACGAAATTTATTTTTTCATATTGCAATAAATCGGTATACAGGTAAACCGTTACACCCTTATTCATAACTAAGATCTATTAAATATCGCCATTTTATTTTGCAGAGATTGCCCTTGTGGAAGTATTTGCATTGACGGTGCATGCGCAGAGGGTATGTACTAGTATACGTTTAATCATATTGCAGACATTATTAGAAAGTACACCAAACACAAAATAGATAATACAATAAATTGTATCATAGTTTGGAGACCTTTCTGTTGAAAATGTGTCAGGGTTAAATCGTATACATATACATGCACAGTGCGGTAACTGGAGTAAGGGTATTAGTTACCCGCACTCCAGAGCATGCCCATTGTTTGGATCATTTTTGCTGGGGTTTACATACTGTGAGGGCAGAGAAAGGGAAAGCGACAGAAATGTCACGTACATTCAGATGTTCGTTCATTGGTTCATTTTTGTCGGGCTTTCATATTGTGACAACAGGGAACGTGCTTTTATGTTTGACTATGATACAAAAGAGAAAGAACACTACGCTACGCCCCCTCGTACAAATCAGATAGCCTCATGTTTCGGTGCTCTTTCTATTACATAATGATAATATTCTATAAATAAGTAATTATTACATATTTTCATTAGACAATGATATAAAGATAGCTTCTGAATAGATGGCGAAATTTAAAATTACAATTTCATTGTGTAATTGTTTCATGATTTAATTACAAATAAAATCGTTGCATATATGTACGCCAGATAACAGTAACACGAAAATGTTTGTTAATTTAGGACTTTTATATATCTGCTAAACCCATTAGTTTCATGTTGAAGAATTATTCTACAGTAACATTTCACTAACTCAAAATATTTGTTAATTTTAGGTTGCATGTTGTACGACACATTTATGCCGGCTGGTTCCGAGTCAGAAGTTTACGGCAGAAAATGTCATTGTGGTGAAACTCCCGACGAGAAAGGAATGTTGCTAGAGGTAATATCACAACTATCTCTAAGTTATTTCCTCTGCTAATAAAAACTTGTTTTGTACAATATCTTTCTTGGTCCTTCATCATCTTTCACTAGATGCCCTCGTTTAAGTGTGAGATCATATACGTTTTCTTCTGTAAAAACAATCATTGAAACACTAAAACATTACTATTAAATTATCTGCTGTTGTCACTTACTTCATTAATTCTTGATTTCATGTTAAATATTTGAGATTTTGATATGATATGGTGAATTCAATAAAAAAAATTGTAATTTGTTTATTTTTTGTTTTTTCTTTCTTTACAGTGTGCTGAAAATGTGGAATTTGTAGGCGCTCCCGAAGGGGTTTTTGAATGGGAGAACAACCTAGCTTGTGAAGTGACCGCCGAGGAAGCCCCAGCTGATGCAGCCACCGAAGCACCCGCCGTTTGAATCATGTTGACATTCATTAAACATCAAGTTCACGACCGAATGTCATGTCGAGTTTCATTTGCATCAAATAATTATTATGAAATAAATGATGTTTACTTTTATGTAAAAAAAATGAGTTGTTTTATTTTAAAGATTTTTTCTGACCTTAAAAATTAACACAATTTCTGAATTTTGTTAACAATTGCTGAAAAGGGTATAGTTTTCCTTTGTGAATCTGTTATGAACCACGGCCCTCACTTCAAGCATGGAAGGTGAACTCTGGAAATGCGATATGGGTCGTCGTTCAAAAATGCTTCATTTTCTTTTTTTTTTCTGTTATCCCTTTGGCATTGAAATACAATGAAATTATCCTTGAAACTAACATTTAATACCCATAATATTACAAAGGTATATAAAATATAAAGGCAAAGACTATTTCAAGAACAAAGAGGAGCACAAATACAAGATAAAATTTATAACATTAACACTACGTAAACAGCATATTTGGTAAATTAACTCGTTTCCACACTGATCTATATATCCTTAGTTCAGTTTTTAATTGTTTAGGCATTGGATCATATTACTTCCGAAGATTACCTTCAAATTCTTAAAGAAGTCTGATTTTTATATGTTATAATTATAATGTTAACTTTGAAATGAAGAAAATAAATTTTTAGTTACTATAACAACTGTGTCTGTGTGAAATAAAAGACGATCATCCTATCTGTAGATTAAATAAATGATATTCATCCTTTATTTCATCCTTTATTTCCACAGCGAATCATAGCACAATTAAAATTATTGCAGTTAGATGTACGAGTATGTATAGTAAAACTGTACATGATTTGAAATTGTACACACATCAACATAGGTTTTAGTTACACTTCTTGATGGTATATTTAAATGAAAAAAATCTGAATGTATGACAAAGAACATGTACAGGAATTAAATGTCTTCCCTCCCCCTGAATTTTCATCAGCCGTTTTGACGCTATATGCATCTTTATTTTTCTTGTATATTTTTGTTAATTAATGACTTAGTATACACAGATGTAAAATCATTTACAGAATAATTTCGTCCATTCAGAATGTACATATTGCTATCAATGAGAAACTGTATAGGTGGTTCCCGTATGAGTTTGTATTAAAATCATATTCTTGGCTCAATATGATCAATTCCAGCAATAAAACCACCAGTGTCACCACAGCGGCTGTTAAAATCACCGCATACAAACAAAAAACATTTGTTTTGATATGCATAAATATTTTGCAACAAATCATTATTAAAAGTGGGAATCAGAATATCGTACAATGTTTTACCGGCGTTTACATCGCTTAGTGCGTTACTTGACAAAGCTGCCAAATATCTTTACAGCTAAAATTTATCTTATATGATTGACTAAATTTTCAAACAGCAAACAATTTAAACATTTAAATATTGTTATGGGTTTTAGAGAAACAAGAGTGCAAAAAGAAGGCTTAACCATTCGACCCAGACAGTTACAAAGTATGTCATTCAAGATACATGTACTTGAATGTCACTAAGTATGTCAGCGCTATGCACGCAACTCTTATCTTTGTTCTAAATAAGAATTCGTTAACAATCAAATCAAATTCTACTCCGCTTTGTCTTTAATATGACGCGTCTTAAGCTGTTATTATTTTGCTTTGCTTTTGGAATAACTTGCATCTACGGGAATGATAGAAATTCCCGAATATTACTGGAAGAGGCCAGCATAGATGACATTGTCAATACATTGGCAAATCTGACTGCCAGGGTTGAAAAATGCGAGACAGGTAAAACGTTGTTTTTTTTATTATTTTTAAAACTAACATACTATTTATTAGCAATGATTATATGATTTAATCTTCTGCTAATTTTTTGAACAGTAGAGCTCGAAATTTTACAATTATGCACTTAAAAATAATCTTCATTGTCTACTTTATAGCAGTCGAAAATTTCGAAACGTTGCCACTTAACTGTTGATGATGTGTAGTAATTGATCAAAATATAAAACGCAATTTTACTACATTTGTATTTTGAAATTTTCAGGACCTATTGCGTTCAAGGCACATTTAACCAAAAGCGTGTCCCCTGGAGCGAATGAGAGAATCATTTTTGATGACGTACAGCTCAATCTTGGTGGCGCCTATCATCCTTTTCTTGGAGGATTTTCGGCCCCATACACTGGCACTTACTTGTTCTCCGTCTCCATCTGCTCTACAGGTGGCCATTTTATTGTCCTTGACCTTATGAGGAACAAGGATGTGATTGGTCGAATTTTGGCGGGAGATGCGAGCTATGACGACTGTTCATCGGAAACTACGGTAGCACAATTGCACTCTGGAGATGAAGTTTTTGTTCAGCACCACTTAACAACCGGCGACTTCATACATTATCAACAACATACAATAAACAGTTTCACTGGGACTTTGTTGCAAAGAATGTAGAATAAAGTAAAGAATTATTAAGCATTGGTAATTTGTTATTTCTGTAACGAAAGACGCCTAATACTTATTATAATAAAATATGTTTCATGAAGATCGATCTTCTCTTTCGTAGAGTTAGAAATCTCTTTCTCTCTGTTTGCGACTGATCACGTAGGTTTTTACAACATGTATGTATTTCATCACGCCCTCCAGTGTACGGTAAAACGAGCGAACGGCATTTCCGAGATAGAGCGGAAGGCCGATTTAAACGGATAATTGTAAGTGTTGTTTATGTTTTTGTCTTGTTATTCTTTTAAGTTGTATTTTTTCGAAAAACGGAAAATGTAGTTCCGTGTAGGATTGATTTAGGCTTCTTCCAATGATCTAAGCTGTTACAAAAAGAAAATTATATCAAGCCTGGGAGAACTTTTTCCCCTGACGGAGCGAACGACGATTTGTAAAAAACCATTAAAATGCCATACCGGTCTTATTACGGGTCGATATTTTCCTAATACACTTTTTAAAGAAATTCGAAGAACAGAACAGAACAGAACACGTTTATTCAACAATAAGGAATTGAACTTACGTTCCTCTTCCATACATGCAATACATATAAACATAGGTCAATATACATGCATAAACATATTATAGTTATATAGTCATAATTTTACATATTATACAATTTACAAAAAAAGAAGAAAAACATCAATACTACAAGACATAATCAAAACTATAATCAAAGGTAGAGGATGAGCCATAAATATTATACGTTAGTACTAGCATTGCGAAGTTTTGATGCATGAAATAAATAGGAGGTCAAATTATTTAACACAGATTTTTTCTTTGATTTTAACAGTTCGCAAAATTTCCACATGCTCGGTTTTTTCCAATATTTTTTTGGTATATACTGTTTTCTTAAGTCACTATATTTTTTACACACCAGAACAAAATGGTATTCATCTTCTATGTCCGTGCTTGATTCACATATTTGACAAAGTCTTTCATTCCTGTCTAATCTATTTCTACCAAATCGTCCGGTTTCTATCCTAAGATTATGTGCCGATATGCTTAGTCTTGTTAACAAATAACGTTTGCTTTTCGGCAAGATATTTAAATATTCTTCGTAACCGAATTCAGTTTTAATATGTCTATATAATGAACACAATACACTGTTACTGCTTATATCTTGTTTATAACTGTCAGTCAGTCTTTGCTTAAACTCCATAAGAAAATAATTGGATTGTACTGATAACGGATTTTCCCACACATAACCAAAACCGTATGAATATAAGAGATTTCTTATATAACTAGTCCAATTTGTTTTCCCGTTATTAAAATCCTCTAATGATATTTCATACAGCTCTTTCAGAATACAGTGATCAGAATTGTTAATCTTTAACCAGTATTTTACTGCACGAACATAGCGGTAAATAAATAACGGATACCTTCCTAGTTCGCCGTAAATGCTAGCATTGCTTGAACTTATTTTCACATTTAAAACCCTTTTACAAAACTTTAAATGAATGCGCTCTAATTATTTAGATTTTATTACTCCCCATACCTCGCATGAGTAGTTCAAAATGGAAGCAACAAAAGCATCAAATAACTGACAATACGTACTTGGTTTTAAATCAAAGCGTTCAATAAGAAGTTCAGAGCTTTAAGACCTTTACCAGCTAGAACGTTTTGATTTGAATTGAAACTTCCAGACGAGCTAAATACGACTCCTCAGTAATTAAAATTTGAAACAGTTTCCAAGTTAACACCATTATAGTTCCATTTTTCGTTTCTTCTGGGTCTTCCTCCCTTTTTGAAGATGGTTACTTTAGTCTTGTCCGTGTTAACTTCAATACCCCATAATTTACAGTACTCACTCAATAAATCTAAATTTCTTTGTAGATCATCCGGACTTTCGCCTAAAATCGTCATGTCGTCTGCATACATAAGAAGCATTAATGTTACTTCTTTCAACGTTATTCCATTTTGATTTTTTTCTTGTAAATATATTTCAATGTCTTCAATAAACAGAGCATAGAATAATGGCGAAATGACATGTCCTTCGTGCCACATAAATTACACCTGAAGGATTTCTTAAATTTGTAAATCGATATTTTTCGAAAGTAGTGGAGCCAAAGGGCAAGAGATGGAGCGAAAGGTTCGGTGTTAAGCGCAAGGCGATATTAATTTGGCATATTGGAAGGAGCGTGGTCTATGAATTTTTATATATAAAAGCTTTAGAAGTTAAAATACACATGATCAAGTGTTGAGACTGAGATATATAAACCTTTGTAACTAATGTCATATACATTTATAATGTACATGTCCTACCTACCTAGCATTACATTATGTTATCAAAATATTATATGTGAGGCTAGATTACAGAAATTTTTAACGTACGCTTGTCATATATGATGAACATACATAGCATAGCCATATATAATTTTGACTGGGGTGTACGGAAAGGTGCAATTTTGCGCCACATGTTGTTTAATGCATTATATAGGTGATGGATACAGCTGTTGCTAAGCCACATATGGGCGGGAGCATAATGGTGAAACAGGTTTTGGAAGTCCAAGAAGTATCTACTATATAAGTAAATGGTTTCTATTCGATCTACACATTTGAATATAAGCAATATTCAGTTGACGATCGTTCAGATTACATGTAAGTACTTTTTAATTTTTGTAAACATACTAGTATGGTGGGAGCATTTTTCTTACTTTACATTAAATGAAATATTAGATGAAAAAAGAAAATAATTTCAGATAATTTCTAATATAGAACGTAAATTGTTGATGCATGTTTATGCATTTATTTGCGTGTGTTGTGGGATAGCATATTTTAAACTCAAATATGTATTCACAAATGTATGACAACTCCTTAAACAAAAAATACTTTCATTTTTTTTACAAAATTGACATATTTTCTTCACACATTTTATTATTCTATAATTTCAGTTATACCGTAAGCTTTGAGATAAAGATGGTACGTTTAACATTCGTATTGTTGTTTGTTGTTGCTGTTGCTTTTGTTGTTGCTGATGAGGATGAAGACAATTCCTGCACCGAACTTAAGTAAGTACACATGCATTTTAAACTGGTTGACTCAACAACCGGATCACAACCACGATTCAATCGGGTATGTTATTTTATTTTCCCATTTCTAACAATGCATGTTACTTAATGCCAAAAAGTTTGGGAGTATAAAGCTTTGACTGGCGAATTGTTCCAACAAATCCAAAAAAACTGTAAAATCCCATTGTTGTCATTATCTTGTGGTCATATCTTTGAAAAATATCTGTGTTAAGTAAAGCACATGAGTTAAGTAAGAACACAAAGTAAAATTTTCCTAAAAATTATTCAAGGGCTTGAATAGAAGGTTAAGCGATGGTGATTTTGTATGCACCTCTCGCTAAATTTGAAATTCATATTTCTATATTAGATACCAATGAATATTTTATCCGGTGAATACTGGCCGCCCAGTAAAGTATGGAGGAGATATGCAGACATATATTGAAAACATAAATTTATGAATATGAGAACAGAAAAAAATGTTATAACTAAGATCTATTAAATATTGCCATACATAATAATGCCTATTTATTTTGCAGAGATTGCCCTTGTGGAAGTATTTGCATTGACGGTGCATGCACAGAGGGTACGTATACGTTTAATCATATTGCAGACAATATTAGAAAGTACATCAAGCAAAAAATACAATAAAATAATGATAATGTTCTATAAATAAGTAATGATTACATATTTTCATTATACGATGATATAAAGATAGCTGAAATTTAAAATTACAATTTCATTGTGTAATTGTTTCATGATTAAATTATAAATAAAATCGTTGCATATATGTACGACAGAATGATAACAGTAACACGAAAATGTTTGTTAATTTAGGACTTTTCTATATCTGCTGAAACCATTAGTTTTATGTTCAAGAACTACTCTACAGTAACATTTCACTTACTCAATATGTTTGTTACTTTTAGGTTGCATGTTGTACGACACATTTATGCCGGCGGGTTCCGAGTCAGAAGTTTACGGCAGAAAATGTCATTGTGGTGAAACTCCCGACGAGAAAGGAATGTTGCTAGAGGTAATATCACAACTATCTCTAATTAAGTTATTTCCTCTGCTAATAAAAACTTGTTTTGTACAATATCTTTCTTGGTCCTTCATCATCTTTCACTAGATGCTCTCGTTTAAGTGTGAAAGCTACCGCTTAGATCATCATATACGGTTACTTCTGTGAAAAACAATCATTGAAACACTAAAACATTACTATTAAATTATCTGTAGTTGTCACGTACTTCATTAATTCTTGATTTCATGTTAAATATTTGAGATTTTGTTTTTTTATTCTTTCTTTACAGTGTGCTGAAAATGTGGAATTTGTAGGCGCTCCCGAAGGCGTTTCTGAATGGGAGAACAACCCAGCTTGTGAAGTGACCACCGAGGAAGCCCCGGCTGATGCAGCCACCGAAGCACCGGCCGTTTGAATCATGTTGACATTCATTTAACATCAAGTTCACGACCGCTTGTCATGTCGAATTTCATTTGCATCACATAATTATTATGAAATAAATGATGTTTACTTTTATGTAAAAAAAATGAGTTGTTCTGACCCAAAAAATTAACACAATTTCTGAATTTTGTTAACAATGGCTGAAAAGGGTATAGTTTTCCTTTATGAACCACGGCCCTCACTTCCTGCATGGAAGGTGAACTCTGGAAATACATATGGGTCGTCGTACTAAAGCACTTCATTTTCCTTTTTCAGTTATCTCTTTTGCATTGAAATACATTGAAATTATCCTTGTAACTAACACTTAATACCCATAATATTACAAAGGTATATAAAATATAAAGGCAAAGAGAATTTCAAGAACAAATACGAGCACAAATACAACATAAAGATTTATAACAATAACACCTAGTTAACAGAATATTTGGTAAAAAAAAACTCGTTTCCACACTGATCTATATCCTTAGTTCAGTTTTTATTTGTTTGGGCATTGGATCATATTACTTTCGAAGATTTCCTTCAAATTCTTAAAGAAGTCTGTTTATTATATGTTACAATATTAACTTTGAAATGAAGAAAATAAAATTTTAGTTACTATAACAACTGTGTCTGTGTGAAATAAAAGACGATCATCCTATGGATCCAAGGAACCCATTATCATATAGGGGAATTTCTTTAACTTGTTCTGTTTATAAACTCGATTGTGCTATATTAAATAATAGACTAAGTAACTGGGCTGAAAATCGAAATGTCATTGTTGACGAACAGAATGGGTTTAGAAAGAAAAGAAGCACTATTGATCATTTATTTACGCTAACAAATATAATTGATACTAGGAAAAAAACGTAAACAGTCTACATTTGCTGCTTTTATTGATTTTAAAAAGGCATATGATTATATAAATAGAGATTTACTATGGAAAAAATTGTATGACATAGGTATAAAAGGTAAAATGTTAGGTGCTGTACAATCTTTGTATGATTCTGTATATTCATGTGTAAGAATTAACTCTAAACATACTGATTGGTTTACTGTTAAGTCTGGATTACGTCAAGGCTGTATATTATCTCCCCTTTTGTTTAATTTATATATAAATGATCTTGCTGTTTACCTGAAATCTCTTGATATTGGTGTTGACTATGGATCTGATAAATATGTATGTTACTTTATGCAGATGATATTGTCTTGTTGGCAAAAGATGAGAAAGATTTGCAATGTTTATTAAATGCACTTAACAACTGGTGTAGCACCAACGATATGTTTATAAATAGTAGTAAAAGTCAAATTGTCCATTTTAGACCTTTATCTGTATGTAGAACATCGTTCAGTTTTATATGTGGTGTTCACACACTTAATATCGTTGATAGATATATGTATTTGGGATTAATGTTGCAAGAGCACTTAGATTTCAATGTTACTGCAAAGGTTGTAGCTCAAAGTGCAAGTCGGGCTCTTGTCCTTCTTATTGCTAAATGTAAATCGTCTGGTGGTCTTCCGTACGATGTATTTACCCACCTATATGATTCTACTGTTTGGCCAACAATCAGTTATGGTTCTGCTATCTGGGGTTATCGCTCTTACTCGTGCGTTAACGCAGTGCAGTTTCGCGCTATGCGTTTCTTTTTAGGTGTCGGTAGATATATATACGCCTAACGTCGCGGTTTCCGGTGAAATGGGATGGATATCCCCAGAAATCAGACAGTGGAAATCCATTGCTATTCATTTATCTAGAGTCTCTTATATGCTTGATTGTGGAGTAAACAAACGAGTTGCACTTTGTACTGCATCTGCAGCAAATAGATCATGTAAGAACTGGTTGTATACATTGCTTGCAATGTATACAGAGTTATAAGCTATGTCTCAGAAATCGTTACAGGTTTATGTTTTACCGAACAACAGAAACTAGTTCTTCATTCTGCAGTATTCCGACTACACATCATTAAAATAGTGTTTGCAAAGTTGTTTAAATGCTTTGAAAGTTCCAAATCGTTCATTTTCATGAAGTAAAAGACTCTATATTTCCTTTAAAGAAAACAGAAAATAACAGTTCATTGATAAAATCGTACGTTTATACCTACGCGTTAAACTTCGCATATACGCATGCGCTTGCTAGCATGAATGAATACATCGTAAATATAGTAAGTCGTCAGAGTAAAATCGATACCGCTTATGCTAAAACAATACAAAATAAGCTTTTTTTAAACCGCTAGTTTGTTGTGATTAAATGTCCGAATTTAAAATGTATTACACCAATAGAAAATCTTAGCTTCATCACACAGTATAAACTTCAATACATCTTTTGACTCCAAAGTATTTAAATTAACTGTTAAACCTACCATATGTCAGACCATTTTACATGCGATTTATACGGTGAGATACGCAATGATAAGAATAGCTGTCGCCTGCTAGTTCTGAAAGTGTATATCGGTGTATTATATAAATGGACGAAACATCTCAGATAGATATTAAATCAAATAAAATTCCTGATTTACATTTATGCAATAAAATTGCCCTAAAATGTTTTACAAAATGAGTATGGTGCTCCGTCACAAAATTTACCAGCGTATACCGGAAAATGTTTTGTTTTTTTTTTTAAAAAACTGGCAATTATCGTGACTTCGAAAAATAGAAATTTCGTAAGCTATTCTTTTGAATACCTTTTTTTACACATGATTTTCCTTTCACTTTTGTATGCCTTAGATTTTTTAAAGGAAATATGTTTCGAAATTCAGCGAAGATTGCCTGATTCAGTACGGGTAAAAATAAAGATTCGGCCGCTCGACCGTTCGACCCATTACAATTCGTCGAACTTGAGATATTGACGATTAAGCCAGAGTATGGAGCTAAATATAGGCACATGTGGCAAGATTCGACGAGAAGAAATAATCATTTGAAACTGTAAATCAGTGTAAGCATTAAGAAATAAATACATTATGTTATTTTAATCTGCTTATATTAATTGCCGAAAACACCAGAAAATACCGAAAAACACTTAAAATACAAAGAAATATTAATTCAGCAATATAAACAATTTTTGTCAGTTACTTGATGAAATGGGTTCAATAATATCAGTTTTAAATCGATGATATATACAATTGGTATAATTCCTACAAAATAAGTTTTATCTACTTTTTTCTATCCTTTAAATGATTAAAATTTACTTTCTTTTTGCAACCAGTGTAAATTAGAGAATGATTCTATTCTGTATTAAATGCGATATGTAAGTGTTTTTTGGCAAAGTAACAGTCTAGCGTCAAAAAAAACATGGAAAAGCCGGAAAACACACTTTTACGGGCATTAAAATAGTCGTAGTTAAAACAAGAGCCGCTATTTTTTTCAACCTTTTAAATGAATAACTATATATTACTTTCTTTTATTACCAATGTAAAATGTCAGTGATGTGTATTTTTATAAATACAGCATGAAAATGTTTTTCGGCTACGTAACGGTCTAGCGTCAATAACATGGAAAAGCCCCCCCCCCCCCCCCCCCCAAAAAAAAAAAAATTCGACCGTCTAAATGAATGATTATAACATTATATGTGTAAGCAATGAAAAATATCAGTAATATTTTTGTAATAAACATTGTATGAAATTGTTTATCGGCTATGATACTGCCTAGCGTCAAAAACATAGAAAAAATAAATAAACAAACAACACATTTTACTTGCAATAAAATACTAGATATATTTTTAAAAAAATGCTGCTAAATACATTTTTCAACCGTTTAAATGAATAACTATGACATAGAATTTATTACCTTTGTAAAATGTCAGTTATTTTTTGTAATAAGTACAGTATGAAAAAGTCAGTGGTGAAACTTATAGGTTGGCTCAGGGTGAGGTTAGCCTGGGTTCCAGTCTGTCGATTTTTTGTTTGGTTTCTGTTTGGCAAAATCGACACTATCAAAACGACGAACGAATAAGGAATATTAAGCGCATATGTTATGAACAAAAAAAATGTTATGAATAAGCAAAAACTATCAACACCTGAATCCCAGGCTAGGTGAGGTTTTAGATTGTTGAATGTCGGCCATCCATCTTATGTCAACTCTGGTCTGTCCACATTTAGCATCGTCGGATACCCACGGCCGAACCATTTACATTTATCAGTTATGTCATGTTAAATGTTAATCAACCATGTGTATCCGACGCCGACATTACAGTTGTTAACAATCTGCTGGTCATTTAGTTTGTTAACACTCTACTGGTCACACTTTTGTCCCAATTGTCACACAACATCGTAAGAATGTGTGTGACAGGTTTTGCTCGAGTTTAAACATGGATCACCTTGGTTGAAAATCAGAAGTATGTTACAGTAGCCAAAAAATAGAAAAAAATGTTTTAGCTCAATGGTTCATCTAAAGTTAAGAAGTTGGTAACACAACCTGATTATGGAAAAACCCTTGTTAACTTGCTGTCCAATTTAAATGGATTTCTTGGAAAGGTTGTTCATGAAGACTATATGTAACAATTATTGAATAATGAAAATATTACAGTACATTTGAATTGTTGTGATTATAGATTTCATTATTATTAATTAACGATAAAGTAATGCATTTGAAAATTAATGTGTAGAGATTAATACAACACACCGGAATATATTTATTAATGCATCAAAGTACAGTACATAGATGTACTATAATTTGGTAATTAATTCTTGTAGGATGATTCAGTTAATTGACTATGTATAGAGTTCAAGCCAGATCATGTATTTTATCAGCATCACTGGAAACTCAATATGACTGTTTCAATATTCTATACTGCAGTCCATTTAACGGGTGTTTCAAAAAAATGATTTCTTTATTGCTCATCTATCAGCTTGCCCTAGCAATACAGATGGAACATTCAACTTCCTTGACTCATAAATGACTTTTGAAGAAAAAAGCCTTGGTGCATGTGAATCACTTGTTAGGGACATTGGTCTTGGTCAGAAGATAATCCCTATTGTTTTCGAGGTCAGTAGGTTAAAATCAACATGGCTTTGATGACAAAAATGGATTACATTATCAAGCAATGTATACTTCAGTACTTTCAGTGCTTTGATTTTTCTATGTTAATGATATGTTAAAAAATTGTAATGCGCACCAATATAGTAATATAAGAATTTCCATTCCAAAACATACTATAGTGAATATTGTTACAACTAAATTGCAAGAAAAATGTGTTTTAAACTGGCTCGAATCTTTGAATAGTGTCACAGGTCCTTCTGGTCGTGGTGGCAATAAGTTGCGTACATATCGACTGTTTAAAACAGAATATGAGACAGAATTATATTGTAAACTCATTATGCCTCCTTGTCATCGCACTGCATTTAGCAAGTTTCGTTGTGGTGTTGCGCCTTTACGCATAGAAACTGGGCGTTACGAAGGCTTAGATGTATTGGAACGAAAATGCCAGTTCTGTGACAGTATTGAAGACGAAAGCCATGTCATTCTTGATTGCTTTGTGTACGATGACTTGCGACAATCATTATTTGATAAGGCTAAAACGGTAGATAATGCATTTGTACAAATGTCTAAAAATGAACAATTAATACGAATGAGACAAAAATAAAGTATGAATATATAGCACAATTAAAATTATTGCAGTTAGATATACGAGTATGTACTTAGTAAAACTGTACATGCACACATCTATAGGTTTTTCGTATACATATCAGTAACACTCCTTGATGGTATATTTAAATGAAAAAAATCTGAATGTATGACAAAGAACTTGTACAGGAATTAAATGTCTTTCCCCTCCTGAATTTTCATCAGCCGTTTTGACGCTATATGCATAGTGATTATTTTTATTTCTCGTGTTGAATTTCTCAGATAAAACAGAATAACCCGAAGTTTGACGGAATTGGCCGAGAAGATGCGATTGTTCGAACTAATTAAATCGATTTCTAAATTTAGCCTATATACTTTGCGGACTACGTCAGTATTTTTTACGCAACTTGTGTCTTAAGGTATATATTGGTAAATTTTCTGCCTGTATATCGTGGCTGGCTAAGTAGACTGGATACTTCGTATTTCATATAGAAAATTGAATCAACCTTTCAAACCCTGTGGGGTGATCCCCATAAGCTCCAGCTACGCCATCCAGCTATTTTTTTTCTCAATCTACTGATCAGATGTTTAACTGATTAAGAGCTTAATATCATCATATTATGTTATTAGAAGGTCACAAGTTGTGAAAAATTTCCTACAACTGGTCAATTTATATTCAGTATATATTTCATGAAAATAGTCTAATATAATTTACTAAATATAAAGCGTGGCATATCGAGGTTTGTGCTAGTTAACTTGCCTGGGTTCCAGTCTGTCGATTTTTTATGTGCTTCTGTTCGGCAAATCGACATACTATCAAAACCAGAGATGTTGTGTTATCTATGACGATCGAGTATGAAATAGCGCGTAAGTTATGAATAAATAAAAAAATATCAACGCCTGAATCCCAGGCTACTAGTTAACTGTTTTACAAACATACTAGCTACTAAGTCAAAGCTCTAGAGTTTGATAATCTTACAGTTCCAGTTCTGTATAAATTGATCAATTAATCTTGTCTTAAGAAATGATAAAACATCTTAATGTTTCATCTTTAAACAAATATCTAATCATACATGTATTTAATTAATACAGTTTTAAAAGATTCTAGTCCTTGTCATCCATAAAAGTCGTAACTAGTAACACCTTAAATTTTCTTACAAATTGCAAAATTAATGTACCCTTTCAATTGATGAGTCATTTACAAGATCACAAAGGACAGTAGATGGGGCTATATACTGGAATCACTGTGTGTCGTTGGTCCGTCTGTGAACATCTGATTTCTTTTGTAAAAAACAACCTTACCGTCATCTGTTTGTTTGTTGCTTTTTTATGTGTGTGTGGGGGGGGATATATATGAGTTTTTCTTAAAATGTACACACAGTCTAAATTGACAACGTTTCAAAAAAGGTCATTTTAATGACCGTACTCATGCTAACTTTGGAACACATTTCCACATCTGTGCAGTCCGTAATAATCGCACTGATTTGTGAAGAACGAAACTTGACAGATTGAAATAGACGTCCTCATATATTTTATCAAATAACAAATGCAAAACAGGCCGTAAAACATCATTACCTTTCACAAAATATCGGTGGGTAATGGTGGGTATCAAATGTTAATATATCCTCTGCCATTTATTTTATTCGAATTGTTATTCGAATGATATGTATACTAAAAATAACTTAAATAAGACATAGTGTATATTAGTGTACCTTTTTCGGAAAAAAGAAGGAAACTACATTGTATATCGTATATTTTTTAAGAGTTTTAAACTAGCGGAAATAAAGCGCTACATGGCAAATACAGTAGATATACTCACGGCTGTAATTAAAACCGTGATATACTCTATTATAAATGTTTTTATGACAAAATTTTCGTCCAAATGATAAATCATTTTACTTAAAGAATAAATGTCTCGCAAATTAAAATTCTAACAGTGTCTATTTTGGATTATACATTAAGTTAGTTGGAAGTGAGACCACCATCAATATGCAAGATCGTGCCGTTAATCATTTTCGCCATGTCACTCAGCAAGAACACCGTTCCATCCGAAACATCCGTGGGCTCTGGAAAACACCAGTAAGAGAATAAATACATATCTAATACAGAAGGTGTGTTAATATTAATATTTTACATTAAAACTCAAAGTACAATTCCACAACTGAAGCCAATTTTGTGAACATGTGCGTATTTTAGAGATTTATATCTTATTTTTGATTGCTACATTTCCTTTCTTGGTTAAAGATTGATTTAACTAATTCAACATTTGTTAGAAGAAAAAACTAGAATGTATATGCATGTATAACATTTGTATGGACAATGATTTTATTGATTTAATCAATATATCCATGTGATAAATTACATGTATTTTTTTATATTTAAACTTGTGTTGGTTTTCGATCTATTTGTCCTATGTGTGTACTTCGAAAGAAACAATATAATTACCAGCAAAATGCCCCATTGGTGTTCGAACGAGATATTTCATGTGTTTCTTCGGGTCTTCCCAGGCTCGTCTGCCCATGTCTGTCATCACAATAGTTGGATGGATGGCATTTACACGGATCTAAAAAATGTTATAAACAATCTTTATGTACAAATTAATTTTTAAAACAAGCTTCAAATGTGGAACATTCTCTGACTTGCTCTAATTGACAATATTTCAATTACTAAATACGTGCATTTACGACATGATAAATATTATGAAAGAAGCATATGCCAAAAATCAAAATCATTAACACATTAACATGAATAATACGCGTAGATGAAAACTAACAACGCGCGAAATCAGGCATTTACCTGATGTGGCCCAAGTTCAAGTGCCATAACTCTTGTAAGTGTATCGACAGCCCCCTTTGATGAACAGTATGATGTGTGCTCGGGGAACGCGACATTGGTCGTCATGCTTGAGATGTTAACAATAGCCCCACCTTCTCCTCTCTCTATCATCCCCTTGGCAACGACCTAAAATATATTAATATAAATCACAATATGGAAAATAGCCTGAATTACATGTAGTATTTTGAGGATTACTCTATTTAATGCCACTAAATAATTGTAAAAATGGAACATATATCAGTATTTTCTTGCTTTAAATGAAGCGTTATTACAGAATCATTCACGAAGAAAAAGTTATTTGGGAAACGGAAATACAAAGTTCTTATCCTAGAAAAGGACACAAAAGGTTAATATCACATATTATGTGATATATTTCATTGTGTCCATAACGGGAATCGAAAAATACTTACAGGGTATTCATTTACTCAAACCTGAATTTATTAAACATAAATTTTATCAATTGATTGGTGTCAATTTTTGTTTTCACTGATACATATCTTCCAAAATAAATGAAATTCTATCACTTATTAAAATTTATCAAATAATCAGGAAATAATAATAATATAAACGACATTTTTTAATATGTTAAGAGACGCTTACCGACGTTTAAGAATCAAATGAAGAGAAATCTTACAACATTCAGAGCGAGTGCGATAAGCCTAGAATTTAAAGTCATGCAAAACTAAACAAACCTGTGAAACGTTAACTAATGCCTGGAAATTGACACTGAATACCCTGAAAATACAAATGTGTATATAAAGACACTATCACGACAACTGACCTCCGCTATGAGAAAAAAAACATAAACGTCATTTAAAAAAAAGAAATGACGTCAATAGACGTTTGCGTTGTCGCTGACGTTGCAAATAGTGATTTACTCTTGAGATGTTGAATTTATATAAATAAGAATAATAAGAAAGGCCAAAAATGAAAATATTTATGTTTCTCTTCCGTGACCCATGCAAAATTGTGTTCGGTTGAGACGTTCAGGGTTGTTTCCTCATGCTGTCAGTGAAATATAAACTAAGATGCATTATTATAACACATTATTCCAGTGTCTACACTGATAATAATCGTTACTTACAACTGTGGTAGATACAGCAAGGAAATGAACACCAGCATGCATATCATTTAGTTATTTATTTCAATTTAACTGGCTATCTTAAGACTTCAAACACTAAAAAAAATGATTGAAATAATGAGTACAATAAATACATTGTATGAAGTCTCTATATTTGTTATATCTTCAGATACAGAACCTGTCGGACTACTAGTATAGGCATGTATGTGCATGTAGGATTCGTCTCCTTGTGGGAATTAAATATTCGATGTTATTCATATAACATTGATTAAGGGTTTGATTATATTCGAGACTTCGGTAACAATAAATGACCTTATTCATCATTTATTTAAAGGCTCAATATATGCATCAGAGGCAAGTAAATTTTTACTTCTTTAATAAGGGCAAACATGAATGTTATAATGTTTAAATAATGGTTTTTGTGAAATGTTAGATGCTTGTTACCTGAAAAAAGTAGCGAATAATCTGAAATATTTGTCATTAAAAGTAGCAAAATATAAACAAAGTAGTATTTCCATACAAATTACTAATTCACTATCACTGCACTTATTGTCAAAAATCAACAGATGATCATTAAAAAGATGGTTCAGGTAATTGGCCAATTCATAACTTTTTGGATACTATAAAAGTACACCAAAATTAGGCATAATGGGCCTTTAAGAAGGAACTAAAATACTTATAAATGAAGCGTGCGCAATACCTGTAAATTATTGCAAAATAGTGCTAAATTTAGCGTGTATACCTTGCGTACTACGTCAATAATCTATTTAACGACCGTTTACGTTTAACACATTTTGTGTATTAAGGTTTATATTGGTTAATTTCAATAGTTAAATTGGTGCTGGCTAAGTAGACTGGATACTTCGTCTTTCTCAGCAGAATAAACTTCGTGGGACCATACCCATAAGAACCAGTTACGCCACTCAGCACTTTTTTTTTTTTTTTTTTTATTTATATTCTTTTTTTTTATTTTTTAACATTTTACTAACAGATCACTATAATATGTGTTATTAAAAGGACATGTGCTAGTTTTTACATTTTTATTATTTTAACAAAAGTTAACAGAAATTATATATTTTGCGGCTATCTAGCACCACAGGTGTTAGTCACTAAGCCAAAATATAAATAAATAAATATATAAATAAATAAATAAATAAATAAATAAATAAATAAATAAATTATATTAATGAAAAATAAAAATAAAGAAAAGATACATACTATATTAAGTAAATATATATGCATCTCTTTCTTTTTGCTTGGGGTGGGGTGGGAGGGCTTGGTGGCCAATCAACGCGCCGAACACCTGTGGAACAAACCCATGTTAATTCCTTCAACGGTTTACAGTATGGGAGAGGGTCTCTCGACCCAGATAGCATGCACCGTTAAATGGTACATTTTAAGGCGTTACACTCAAGTATTTTTTGAAACTAGAAACACCTGTCATTAAACGCGAGAATATCATATTCAGAGTCAGTGCTGTCAGTTTCCTATTTTTCAGTATAAGGTGATCCATCTGACAGTACTGGGTAGAAAGTTTACTTGAAACACAGAAAATAAAGATGGAATGTAATCATTTTGCTAATGGTATAGTTAGAAATTTTTAGATAATCGAGTCTTTCGAGAGCGAAACGAGGGGAAAAAATCAAAAACAAACACATACCAAATATTGAACTTAAGTGAGTTGGTTTGAATTACAGAAGGTCTGTAATACAATGAAAAATTACGTTGATAGTATTAGATAGTATTTAGTATTAGACTTGAGAACAAACCACGAAAAAATGATTATACATGGAAGTGATTGGCAAGTGCGATAATCATGACGCGATATTACATATGTATACATGTACTTACATAGCAGATTGAACAAAATATCAGTATTCATTATTCTCAATCACTCAACACTCTCCTAGCAACATTTTATAAGAATATCCAAATGATACATTTCTATTGTTTTTATCAATATTTGAAATACTTATGAAAAATTTGCCCATTGTAGACATATTCACTTAAATTAAAATAATAGTGTACGTTACTGAAGGTTTGCTTGGTTATTAAGTAATATACCATTAATGAATGCATATTGTGAAAAATCGAATGGTATCAGATC